TTATTATTATTATTATTATTATTACTGTATTATTATTATTTTAACTGATGGTCATGTTTTACAAACTTATTTTGACCTCTTACCCCACTTTTCTATCTGATTTTGTTTAAAAAATTTAAATTTAATTGTAATGTTTACCGTTTAATTAATTCTAATTTTAATTGTTTTAAAAACAATAAAAAACAAACAAACAAAACAAACATGCGTTTGTGGTACAATATGTGTGCATGTTACACTATGCGCGTATTCCTGGCCCTTGTCTGATTGGTCAGTTTTTTAGTTTGATTAACACCGCAAAAAGGTCCATTCCCAATTAACATATTTTATGAATACTCATATATTATTACAGTACAATAATATGATGTCACCTTAATAATTGTACTGTAATACTCATATATTACAGTACAAATATTAAGGTGACATCATATTATACAATCAATCTGGTGATATCAACTAGAAAGTATGTCCAAACGAAAGTATTCTGCAAGATAAGAAAACTGATATTAATCACATAATGAATTTAAAGTGAAGAATAAAACATATTGGATATACATAAAAAGAAAGTGTGATTGTATCATAAAATGTGGATCAGTCAGTGAGACAAATTCATAATTATATATAATAACGATTAGAATAAAAAGCATATTTTAAAAGATATAATCAATGAAATTTAAGAAAATTTCATTTGGGGGAGCATGGGGGGAATATTGACCCACACGTAACAATAGGCAAAACTAAAAAATATACACATAAATATATAATAAACATATAATATAGTGTATATTCATTCATTCATTCAATCATATCAATCAGTATTACATTACTATTGTTTTTATAATATACTATATAATAAACATATAATATTCATACATTTTGTATATACAAATAATTCAAGTGTTATAATTTTAAATAAGCTACAAGATAAACTAACTGAATGTGTGTTCTTACTATGTGTAGGCCTATACATGAATCTAAATCTGAATACTGACAAAAATAGGCATAAATATAGTACAGTATGTTCAGTGTGTATGGGTAACAGTACAGCATGTATGCAAGTATAAATATGAGTATGTGTATCAATAAGTATAAATGTGTACGTAGGCCTATGTGTTAAAAAAATATAGTGGACAAGTTATTTTTAGCTCCGATGAGGCGTTTCAGAAACAATTGGCTGAATGATTACTGAATCATTGAATAGATTATTTTGTATGGGCAGCCGTTAGGGCTAATATACTCTCCGATGAGGAGCTCTAGAAACACTTGGCTGAGATTAATATAAATTAATCTTTTTTGTATGGGTGTCCGTTAGGGCAAATATCATTTACTGCATATACCATACTGCCCTCATCGGATCTTTCAAGATTACTACAATTTGTTTCTATACTGTAAGCAACATTGAGGTTCTTAGCTCTGTACACATTAACAAATGTGTATGCTCTTATTTGGGTGTAATGACATCATCATGCCCATATATGGGCACATCACACAAATTTGTCACAGAAGTGTGGACACAGCATAACCAAAACTTACCATATAAAACCTTGAAAGGCCTGACCCTTTTTCCAACCATGACTCCAAATTTTGGCCTATCTACCACTGCTGAATTATAGTCCGTTGTCTCAAAAGATGTCTCGTTACTTGCAGTTTGCCCAATAACAGCATACTCGTCGCTAGAACCAGATAGGTACATGACGATACGGTAGTTGTCTACTGGACCTTCCCCTTGATCAACCCCTTCTGTCCAATCATCCCACCTCAAATATGTTCTAGAAAAGGATTCTTCAATTTGAGGATTAGCTTCAAGGCGAGGCAAATCTATAACATGTAAGATCAAAGGAAAAGTGAACACTTTCTTAGGTTATTTCATCTGCTGATCATGAAGTCTGTTGCAGGTATTAAATGAGTGATCATGGGTATGGAGATAATCGTAGAGTGGACAAGAAAGCTGCCAAAAAATCAGAGGGAAACCACCTATGCCTTTGAACTTGATAACAAAGAAAGGGAAATACAGTGGTTGGCGGACCTACCTGATGTTGACACATTGACTGGTAGAAATTCTACATAGCCTAAAATGAAAAGAAATAATGTACAGTGAATACCGGTAGTATAGCATAAACAAAAACAGTTTTATCAGGTCTTGAAACATAGGATTTATTTAACAAGTTAAAAATAAAAGGTACAATTCTCAAGTGAAGACATTTCTTATTTAAGTGTGTGTAGTGCAACTACCTGAAGCTTACGGGAAACTAACATTATTATAATATATGAAGTAGATTAAGGGTTAAGTATTAATTTAAAGTATCAATTAAACTTTCATAATTTCAATTTATATACATGTATGCTTTCTCTTTTCCAAGACTAATTAAGAAAAGACACCGTCGGGAAGATTACATATTAGATTTTCTTGGAAGGACCAACATAATTGGTTCCTATACTTTTAAATATTAATAATATCAAGCTGATTAGAGCCTGTTGCGTGTTAAGTAACTTAGCGATTTATAAATGTTTTGTGTTATTCATGAACATACTAGCAAATCAAATAACTTTTGTAAAAAATCTAGTAGATAGTAGCAAAAGATGGAACGATGTCGTTAATCGCACTAGGCTTTTAAATTAAAATGGAATGCAATGTATTGTAAGAAGTTTGATGCAAAAATATGTTCAAAGGGAGAAAACTGATATATTAAAAAATTATTTACTTGCTTGAATTCTGAACGATATGCCACCAAAAATGAATAAAATATGGATATTATTTGCAATAATAACTAACAGGTCTAGAACGAGAGCTCATTTCGACGGGACACTTGGAATTATATTTTAAAACGTTAAGGCATAACAAAGAATTTTATATCCACATCAAAAGGTTTACCACTTAGATTCTTTACGCAGCGAAGGAAAAAAAAGAATGACAATGACAATCAGGGATTTATTGATATACCGATACTGAGTACAGAGACGGAAGTTTCTATTATTTTTAGAGACTTTTTCTTAAATGGTTGTAGTATGTTTATACATTTCTCACATAACTGTAATAGACTATAATTTGTATTATATTTAGTTTAATTTGATAACACTTAATATATACTTCAAGCAATCTACAACTCACTGAGAGTCGAGGTGGATTGTTCAGTTCAGGAAAATGAATATCAACTAAAAAATATTAAAAAAAAATATTTGGAATTTACTCATTTCACAAGCAAAAGCAGCAGGCTCATTACAAGGCAGATCAAACCATTCTCCGTTGTCAACAGAAAGAGCAACACAGAAACCGTTACCATCAGGTTTGGAGGCCATGAAATCTAACAGCATGAAGATGAAGAAAAAGTTTAAAATATACCAGGCAAAAAAGACAATAAAAATAATAATAACGGCAACATAATCTCAACAACAAGAACAATGGCAATAATACCAACAACAATAACATAGTTCCTTCAACATAAATCGATAGGTACTTATTGTGTGTAAAGCCAGGTACTCTTACTGCGCGGCAACGGTCATCGGCTGACACGATTCTATGTAGAACGAAGCGCCACGACGTGAGCCATGACGATTCGTTCAGTACAGACTGCCAACTACAACCAGCAGACCACATCGCTTCATCTAGCGCTCACAAGAAACCGAGTTGGTTTCTTGTGAAATGCGAAGATCACAAAGTAGATGAGACTGTTTACACAATAACAACAACTACACCAACAATAACAAAGACAGTTTGTTTGTTTAGATACATAAATAGGACATCCTACAAGACTTGCTGTGATAGAAATATTTTAAAAATGTAACCACAGTCCATTAATTTCATTGTGGTACCAAATCCAACTTTATCTATTTACTTTTTTGTAATTTAGATTAGGTTAATTTTGTATGTTATTTAATTGTAGTTGTAACAATGTTGTTCTTATTTTATGTCGCACATGTACTCCACATATCATTATCATTGCAATTTAGTTGGAAAGCTACAAAAACGATATTTTTGAATACAATTTGATTTGATTTGATTACAACACATTACTCAAAATTTAAAACAGTAAAAATTAAATAATAAATAAATAAAAATAATTCTATATTCATCTAGATGAAATAATATTAACAGAGTTTCCATTTAATATTCTTCCTATATATTTCACTCAACATTTGCACTGAATTGCATTACATAAATTTATTTATTACTTACTTTTATATACACTCCATTCATTGGTTCCGAACCATTCAAACACAGTTTCAATATTTCTATGATGGTAGCCTATGAAAACTTGACTGACATCTGTGTCTAGGTCTTGAAATGACTGCATCACAAATTCATTCTCCTCCTCTGAGCCAATCACCACCAACGTTCCTCCATTATAAGAGCAAATAAATTCTGCTACTTCCCAGTTTAATGGTGTTGTGTCAAAGTAATAGAAAGAATTATCATGAGCAATCATTCGAGGTGGAGTTGAGCCTACAAAAATAAATATAACATCGTTTCATACATTTATCCCAATAAAGCCTAGTTTTCATAAAATTCTGTCACTGCAGTCTTTTCACTCTCGAAGTTGCACTACATAGCTGTTCCTGACGCAATTGTGTACACAAAACCGGGTACTCACTGCGTTCCATGTCCGCGCTAAACGACACAACATAATTTTAAAACGATCCGTTGCGCATGTGTAATGTCTTGGTGTTGCATTCTCGGTCGTTTCAGCCAAAGAACGTTGGGCACAGTGTGCCTGGCTTTTAGGGTCTCGATTCAATTTGCCGATACCTAGCATACCCTGCAATTTAGCCTGCAGTCCGCCACTGTTAACAACTGACCGATCAGAACATGTTACTGCTGCCACCAAGGAGGTTATGTATTCATCCATGTCTTTATGTCTGTTAGCAGGATTTAATATGCAGAAACTAAATAATGGATCATCATAAAATTGAAGGATGGTACATAAAAACCTAAGGATAGAGACTGTCTCTTATACACATCTTAGAGCAACTGTAAACAACTGCACCCAACTTCTTGAACCATTATCAATCACTTCAGCTAACAAGTATCCAACTAAGCCTACTTTAATTACCTACTGCTTGTAACCAGTAGAGATGTGTATAAGAGACAGCCATTCATTGGTTCCAAACTATTCAAACACAGTTTCAATATTTCTATGATGGTAGCCTATGGAAACTTGACTGACATCTGTGTCTAGGTCTTGGAATGACTGCATCACAAATTCATTCTCCTCCTCTGAGCCAATCACCACCAACGTTCCTCCATTATAAGAGCAAATAAATTCTGCTACTTCCCAGTTTAATGGTGTTGTGTCAAAGTAATAGAAAGAATTTTCATGAGCAATCATTCGAGGTGGAGTTGAGCCTACAAAAATAAATATAACATCGTTTCATACATTTATCCCAATAAAGCCTAGTTTTCATAAAATTCTGTCACTGCAGTCTTTTCACTCTCAAAGTTGCACTACATAGCTGTTCCTGACGCAATTGTGTACACAAAACCGGGTACTCACTGCGTTCCATGTCCGCGCTAAACGACACAACATAATTTTAAAACGATCCGTTGCGCATGTGTAATGTCGTGGTGTTGCATTCTCGGTCGTTTCAGCCAAAGAACGTTGGGCACAGTGTGCCTGGCTTTTAGGGTCTCGCAATACAAATTTATTTAGCAACCTAATTTGAGAAACTGATTTAGTTCATCTGTGTCTGTCTCAGATACTGGAGAGGAAGAGATCCTGTCGGAAGCAAGTAAACAAAATATTACAGATGGTTCCATTTAAAAACTTACTTTGTTGACAGACAGGTATTCCCATATCAGTAGCACTGCAAGCAATTTTCTGTAGAGAAAAGTCATCTTCAACATATACAACAATACAATCAGCATCAGGTGTATCCGTCAGATTATAGTGCCAATCTGATAATCAGAAATTCAGTACAACCATTACAACAATACCTTTGTTTAAATCAAAAAGCTCAACATTGATGTAATATTTTTGTTTAATTCAAATATAAAACGTATAAAAAGATAAATTCTAGACTGTTAGGTAGCAAAGCTATTATTATACAAATTTAAAGGATAAATATTAGAAAATCTGCAAGAGTAGAATAATTCTAGATTTTCTGCTTGACATTCAGACACCTTAATCAACAGACTATTTCTAACTTGCTTCACTATTTACATTTTTTTTTTTTTTCCTCGGAGTAGAGATCATTTATCATTCATTATTACCTGGTGTATCCGTAAAAAGTGTTCTGATAGCGTAATTGTATCCATCCCAGAAATAAGCGCCCTCGTCATCCTTGTCATTCATTCCAACCAGCACATTAGTTGAACTGATTTGTTGCACTTCCAGCATATGCAGCACAAAGAGCTTGATTTTGACGGAAGTGAAGTGAACTAAATGTGATTTTCTTGTCTTGCAGTATGTGTCAGCTTCATCCCAGGACATCATTGTATCAACAACATGAAAACATTGATTTTCATAACTCATCCACCCCGATTCACATTGTTCTAAATATGCAATAATAAATGAAGCACTAAAATAACTATTGAAAAGCATTTAAACATCGATTTTTTAAGTTATGACAGAATTTAGCCATACAGAGTTTATAGTTCAATAGTCTGTTTTAAACCCCCGGTAATGTAGAGCAACTGTAAACAACTGCACCCAACTTCTTGAACCATTATCAATCACTTCAGCTAACAAGTATCCAACTAAGCCTACTTTAATTACCTACTGCTTGTAACCAGTAGCCAACAAACTAAGTTAAACCATAATTAAATGAGGTTAAACATCTACAATTTTTCAGTAAATTGATGTTAAATTGAAGCCTGTCTGTCTGTTATATCATTTTAAGCTCACCGAATACCATCATTTTTATTATGTTATTTCTTAGTTGGAAAAAACAGGATATGAATATTGTACATACGATACACTGGGATCCAAAGCATGGGACTGTTTTTTCCACCCACTAGAAAATTGTTCACTTTTTTGGTAGGTCGAACCACGACTGAGTATTCTGAAGACGGCTGCAATCCTGTCACTTCCCACGTTGTTGTATTTGTGACGCCCACTAATGCTGGCGTTATATCAGGTGCCGGGTGCCACGAGTCCCATAGATAGACCCTATAGTTGACGACTGGACCAAGGCCAAAATCGTGATCATGTATCCACCTGTTCCAGCTGATAGTTACACTATTACCTTCACGACCCACAATCCATGGTGAGTCATACAGGGCTGGTAAAGCTAAAACAATATTAAAGACAGGTTTACATTCTCTAGAATTAATTCCATTTATAACATATAGTGGTTTGTGTATTTACGAAATTTAATGAATTTTATGTTCTTCAAAATTCTAATTTTCTAATAGCAACAAAAAAAAAAA